GCAGTGGGATGCTAACCACAAGGTCAGCAATTCAAAACCACCAGCCACTCCCCAAGAGAAAGTCAAGGCTTTCTACTCCCATAGAGAGTGATACCTTTGGAAACCACAGGGGCCAGTTCTAACCAGCTCTATAGTGTTGCTATGAGTTGGAATCTCCTTGATGGCAGTGAGTTCTTGCTGTTTTATTTTGTTTTTTGGCTTAAGTGGGAGAGAGGATAGATGCAACTTCTTTACTAGCATGTCTTCACTGTTTTGTAATTCACAATCTAGTACAGTGCCTTGCACAACATTCCTAAAACCCAAACCCACTGCCATCAAGGCAATGCTGACTCATAGGGGTCCTATGTAGGTTTTCTGAGGCTGTTAATTCTTTCTCCGGTGAAGTGGCTAGAAGGTTAGCAGCTCACCACTTATCTGACAGTGCCACTAGGGTTCTTTAGCATATAACAGATATCTAGAAAACAGTAATGTGCTAATAATTTGCTAGAAGGCCTTTTGAAAGCACAGCAGTCAAGATATCAAATGGATTACATTGGGCTGCAAACAATTTCTTTAAAGTATTAAAGAGCGTTAAAGAACTAAAGGAAGGTTGTGTGTTTCATTGATGCTATACTGTACCCTGACTGGCTCTTCTCTTCCTTGTGGAAGTCTCAGGTAAATCTGACCCAAGCCATTGCATTTTCCATTGCCTCATATGCACATGGCAGCTGGCCAATGAACAGGAAGACGAAAAAAAGGGGGGGAAATCAAAGCATTTGAATTATGATGTTGAGGAAGAGTATTGAAAGTATCAATAGGAAGAGCTAGAAGAAAGAACCCATCTGCCCTGGGAGTTCACCAGAACCCTCCTTGGAACAGTTGGATATCAGAGACCAGTCCCTGTCAAAGGCATCGTGCCGGTGCAGAGAGGGCCAGTGAAAGGGGGAAGACCCTCCGTGAGCAAGGCTGAGGCGGTGGCTGCGTGAGTGCTCCATTCTGTTGCACACAGGGTTGCTGTGAGTCCAGAGGACGTGTTAGTGCCCAACAGCAGCACCACGCCCTGTGCGTGAGTCCAGTCCGACACAGAAGTCTGACACTCCTAGGTGATCACTCCTATTTGAGAAATGATGAAACTAGATTTTATAGGGGTTACTTGGGGAGGCTTGACCCCAGCAGTCAGGATATACTTAAAACTTTTCACCATCATAGTGGTAGATGCGAAAAGAGAAACAGCAGTGTAAAGGAACCGGTGGGAAAGGGCAGCTGAGTGGCAGAGACACTGAGCTTTTTAGTTTAGAGTAGGCAGTGGGGAAGCCTTCTGGAAAGAGTGGAACTTGAAAGAGGAGGGGGAGCGCTGAGGCGTGAACAGTGACGTCGACAGGACGCTCACCGTCTGTTTGGAGAACAGACTTCAACCTGTCTGGACAGAGAAAAGCGTTCACGTCAGGTCGTCCTGGGAATCCCACTCAGCGATTTAGCAGGAGTAAGACAGTGGAGGGCTTAGGAATTTGGCTTTCATCCTTCAGACGGAAGGGGAGCCAGGGGAGTCATTTTTTTGCAACTTAACATGGTTACTCATTTTTATTATTATTATTATTAATTGGGAGTTAATATATCATATAATTCCACAGTTCGTTTAATCATGTCAAGCAGAATTGTACCATTGCTACCACAATCAGTTTACAAACATTCTTTTTCTTCCTGGATTCCTTGATATCGGTTCACTTTTACCGCCCCCCACCTCGACACGCCCCCCCTCCTCTTGATCTCCCCCCACCCCTGCAACCCTTATTCTACACGCTGTCCCCATGGTAGGCCCACAGGGATGTGAGCGCAGAGTTCTAGAAGCAGGTGTGGACTTTAAAAAGGAACAGACTATTAGAGAGAGGGAGGCCAGGGCGTAGAGGTGAAGAAGACATGAACTAGGATGGTGGTCGAGGGAACGGCAGCCAAAGCAGAAAGAAAGAACCAACCAAACCGAACAAGTGCACCAGAGAATCTGTCTGTGTGACACCAGGAAAAGCAAACTCACTGCCATCGAGCCAGCTCCCGTCCCGGCGACCCTACAAAACAGGCAGAGCTGCCCCTGTGAGTTTCCGAGACTGCAACTCTTCACCGGAGGAGAAAGCCTTGTTTCTCTCCCTTGGACTGGCTGGTGTTTCAAACTGCTGACCTTACGATTAGCAGCCCCGTGTGTAACCACTATGCATCAAGGCTGTCACGATCACAAATAGGGCTTTTCAGGAAGGAGAAGTAGATTTCTCTAAGTATAAACCAAACCAAGGCAAACTCACTGCCTTTGAGTCCATGCTGGGGGGTTAACGTGCTTATTCACTAAATAAAAACATCTTGGACGCTGACTATCAGCCAGGCACTGCTCCTTGTCATTGGTTACACTTTTTATGTGTGCCATAATTCCCCTCCTTTCCATTGTTTGCTTTGTTTCCATCGATCTAACTTCCTGTTCCTTCCTTGCCTTCTCATCTTTCCTGTGGGCAAACGGGGAAAGTTTGGTCTCTTACAGTTATTGATTAAGGAAGCACATTACTCATGAATGATATTGTTTCTTTTAGAAGCTAATCTGTTCTTTGGCTGAAAGAGGACCTGAAGAAATAATTTTAATTCCAAGTTCAAAGGGCATCTTAGGGAGATAAGTTCTTCTCGTCCAGCAGTTCTTCACCTATGGGTTGCGACCCCTTTGGGGGTCTAACAACCCTTTCACAGGGGTCACCTAAGACCATCGGAAAACACGTATTTCCGGTGGTCTTAGGAACCGAGACACCACTCCTCTATCCGTCTCCAGGCAGGTCCACCCACATGCAGATACGCCCACATATGAGCACCCAGCGTGATGACTGTTACCCATGCTACACCATGTTTCAAGACAAAATTTCATTTATTTATCATTAGAAATAAATATTTCACAATATAAAATTATATTTTGTTTTTGTGATTAATTACTATCCTTTAATTATGTTCAATTTGTAACAATGAAAATACATCCTGCATATCAGATATTTACATGACGATTCATAACAGTAGCAAAATGAAGTATGAAGTAGCAACAATGAAGTTATGAAGTAGCAACAAAAATAATTTTATGGTTGGGGGTCACCACACCATGAGGAACTGTATTAAAGGGTGGTGGCATTAGGAAGATTGAGAACCACTGTTCTAGTCTCTATGGGTCCAGTAAGTCTGGATTTTTTTTTGTAATTTGAGGGTTTTTGTACATTTTTTCTTCCATTCTATCTGGGGCCTTCTCTTATGACCCAGGTCAGATGGTCAGCAGGGGTTTCTGGGCACCATCTAGTTCTGGTCTCTGGTCAGAACAGGTCATGCAACTATTAGTCCTAGATCTTTTAGAGTTTATGATAAGAAAGAGACATTAAATAAGTAATTCCAATAACATTACTTAGCTTTATAGTGGCAGAAATTCAGTGTATAGCAGGGCAGCATAAAGGAGGGCACATATAAATCTAGTCTTGGGCTTCACTGACGAAATTACACTTAAGAAATGGGTCTTGGCATTGAATTTATGGTAATACTAGTGGAATAATTTGGAAAGGTTATCAATAATGGTTGTATAACATGAAGACTATAATTAATGGTACTGAATTATACATGTAGAATTGTGGAATTGTGAATGTTTTGTTGTGTATATTTTTTGCTACAATTAGAAAAAAATAATTATATGACTAACAGTGAGTACAAAGAAAGAGAAAATGGTCTAGAATTGACTGTGGTGATAATTGTACAACTCTTCTTGATATGATCAAATTATTGAATTGTATGACATGTGGATGAAGTACTAGTAAAACTGTTTAAAAAAAAGAGAAAGAAATCGGTCATGCTACCAGTTTGGCACCCCATATTATGTAACTCTAGTGATTTTTCCAGTAAAAATTACATACCAGAGATATCAATCACAAAATCTGCTCTCTCACCACCTCTTAAGGAAACAGTCTTTCCCAATGCTCTGCTTCAAGAAAAGGCAGCAGAGAACTCTACCCTGTAACCCCGGTTCTCTCACTCACTGATCACAGAGCCGCGGACGGGCACTCGTTCGAGCACAGCCAAGTCACAGGACCATCAACTATAGTCTGAAGCCAAAAGATGAGAGAACCAAAAAAAAATCAGTTTCTTAAGAATCTGAACGGAAGTGATGACAAGATTGGGTGGGAGACTACGACGGAGAGGTCAGAACCATAGAGAGTCGAAGGTCCCTCTCAAGCGGGTGCTGAGGTTCGGAGTGGGCAGAGAGGGGGGAAGAGGTGGAGGAAGCTGTCCGGTTCAGTGAGACGGGAAGAGAGAAAGAAACAGAATCTCATGGGATCTGGTTTTCTTAGTTTGGAGATTTAGGGTCATAATTTTATGGGATGGCTCAGTTAATTGGCCTAATAACATGCCTGGTTCCTCTATCCTCCATGGGTAGTGTCTTGGGAGATGAAAGCCAGGGGCCTTGCAGAGCACAATCCGACTCCATCCTCCCCGTAGAGCAGCAGCAGGAGGGGAGCCAGGAAAGGAGAAGGCTATGAGTCGAAGTGGCCTCCGTGGTCAAATGCCTTCGCTCGGAGGCCAGAAGAACTGGATGATGCTACATTACTCCACGTTTTCATCAAAGATTCCATAGGACAGTGGTTCTCCACCTTCCTCATGCCGCGACCCTGTCATACAGTTAGTTCCTCATGTTGTGCTGACCCCCAACCATAACATTATTTTTGTTGCTATTTCATTACTGTAATTTTGCTACTATTATGAATCGGGCGACCCCTTTGAAAAGGGCGTTCGACCCCCAAAGGGGTGGAGTCCCACAGGTTGAGAACCGCTGCTCTAGGAGACTCCTTATTAAAGGAGAAAATATAGAACAGAATTTCAAGTTCTCATGGATTCCAGACATCTGGAGCCAGGAAGATTAGAGGAACACTTGAAACCACTGCCCTGCGGTATTCTCTAAAACTTAAACCAAAAATATCTCCTGAGGCCGCCACCTTCTCCTTCGTCCATGTCTCCTCTTTTTGTGTCAGACAGGTAATGTGACGATGCTGGAACAAGGTGTATGGGAGGCGCATGTCACACAGCACGTGAAAACCCAATCATCGTGCTATGGACCGGAAAAGGACCCTGAGGCCTTCTTTAAAAGCACACAATCGTTTAACTTAACTAGTAAAGAAAATCTGCTGTTAGCATTATGCTCTTTTAAAAACTCTCTACATGGCGTCCAGTTGACAATAGCAATTCCCTTGAAAGGTGAGATGAAAACCTTAGGAGGCAGTGCATTTATGTTAGTGGGGAGCACCTGAGAAAGGGAGGCGAGAACGGCTGCACAGCGTGCAGAGCGTCACTGATGCCACTGAACGGTACCCATCGGAGGGGTGGACCTGGTGTGTGCACTGCTTTATGTGAAGGGGCTTCCGAACGCTCACGGAAAAGTTCCATTTTACGTGAACTTTTTGAAGTCTCTCAACAAAATGAATGACATATTTAAAGAGAGACAGAGAGAGAGAGACCCCCTAGAGAAACCTTATGTGTCGCTCTCAAGACAAATGGCAAGAGTTCCTAGAACAATATTAATTTACATTGAATTTTCAATTATAGGACTATGATCACCCTTTCAATAATCTGGTCTAGCTTCATTTCATATTTGGGCAGCATTATGAAGTATAAATGGCTTACAGCTAAATTTCAGGAGAGATTTATTACATAAGTTGTGCAAGAATCTTCTTCGGAAGGCAGACGACAAACTCATTCCAACTATTAGGCGTTGAGTGTGGAGAGGCTCCTTGTAGACCAGAGGGCTGACTTACAGCAGGTCACCTTCTGATGGATGGAAATAAACTACAAGTGCAGAGACTGCACGGAGTGCAGCGACTACCAGGGTAAATAAATGATTATACATGAAAACAAATCGGCTGGCTACCTTCGGATGTCCTTAATTGTCATAATTATACCATGCATAGCTCAAAACAGATGTAGGAGATATATTCTTAGGAAAACTGCCACAACTGTTGACACGTACACTCGAATGTTGTATTTACAGGCTGGGTGACACCCATAGATTCATGAAATATATGTATACATACCTAGATAAATGTCTGTAAAAAGACGGCAATTCTAGCAATGGACAAAGAAATCACAGAGCTTTCTCACAGCTCTGTGCCTGTCCTGAACCCTGAAGTGCTAACTCGGATGCAGTAGTCATTCTTCTCCAGTTTTCTACGTGCATCGACAAACAGGTCGACGGCAGACAGGATTAGGCAAGTCTATTCTTTGGTAACTCTGTTTTTCTGTCAGCTAATCTCCACTTTTCTCAACTATGCTGTCTCCAGTCTCTCTCCTAGCTAACACCCAAACACATTAAGAACAAACAAACAACAACAACAAAACAACTATGATTCATCAAGGAGTGGGGGGAAAAGAGATTAGCGTATCTGGGCTAGACTGTTTGTCCAGGCTAAAAAAGATTGCATTCCTGTAGAAAGTTACAGTTGGGACTGAGGGTAAAGCAGCTGTGTTAGCTTTCCCTTTCTCCTGCAGAGAGAGCTTGGTGCCCCCCTCTAGCCCCCACCCCACTCCCCGCTCCCTCAGTTTTTCCTCTTCCATTTGAGAAAGGAAATTCGGAGACAATGAAACAAGCGATTTTAGTTGGTCGAGGGAGATGGGAGTGTGCTGACTATATGCATATCTCTCTTGTGTTCCATGTGGAATATGAAAGGACGCTGTGCTGCGCCATGTGGTGAATCACATGATTTAAAGCATCGACGGCGGCGGGTAGGAGTTCTGGATCTCAGCTGGGCTGCCGCGCTGGGAGGTGGAGACCGAGAGAAGCAAGAGAGAAGGCGGGCGGTCACCCACTGTTGAGGGCTTGATGATAACTAACTGAAGACAATACGCGGAGACTTCATTGCAAACACGTTCTGCATAAATAGCCCGCTGTTATTCTAATTGACTATCAAAAGTTACAATGAAGAACAATACCTTTTAGGCCAAGTAAAAGGAATTTATTTCCAGATAAAAGCTGAAGCAAATGAATGTAGTATGTTTTAAAATGCAAACTATGAGATCTATACTTTATTTAGTTTTACTATAATAACAGGAAAATTTAACACGGGGTCACAGTGTTCTGATAAACAAATTAAGTGATGTAGGTGTAATAAAATATAACATTTGCTAT